TCACAAGGGATGTGTTTTCTCTTGTATGCGTGCTTTAACTATGTTGGTGTAAACCTTGCGTTTGTAGATTTAACTCCTTAATTTATGGAAAACAACTGCCACAGACTCCAACTGGCAAAGCCAGTCGTTGTGGTCAAGCCAGACAAATAGCCATCACGCATTCGATTAGAAAAACTATGACTTTATTTTAAAATTCAAATGAACGTGGGTGCTCAGGTTTAGATAGGAACCCTACCAGGGCTTCTGGATGAAGGAAGGCATTGCTCAGTTGAATATTTCTTACTGATGCTCTCTGGATTCTCCTGCAGGAGGGCTGCATTCTCCAGTTCTCTCTGTTTTTACCCCCCGAGCTCATGTACCAGAGTGAAATCCAGGCTGGATGATAAGCTCAGCTTGCTTCTCTAACGTAAAGGCCCCTTGCATTGGGCAGGTGGCAAAGTGGAACTGGCAGTCCATGGGTTTGAAATGCATAAAAATACAAGTTGAATTTCTGAAAATGAATTGCATTTGAGTTGTCCCTGCCCGTGTGCCCCCCAAGAAATCTCTTCGTGCCCCAGGAGTGCGTGCTCTTCCGTGTGAAGGCAGATGGCCTGGGATGAAATCACGGAGGAGGCTTAATTTCCCTTCACACAGATACACCTCGTGAGGTTTTTAGAAAATTGCCCTTCCACCGAAGAAGGGAAGTCAAAGGTCACTTTGTTGCTTCACAAGATTCCCAGGTTGTTCTGGGTGAACTCACTCTCCGGGAGGCAGTTTCATCGAAGAAAAGACCCCATCCAACTATTGGAAGCCTTAAAAACACAGCTGACTCTTATGTGTGGCTGCCAGTCACCTTCCCCTGAGTGGTAGGACATACTCACGTTTCTGTGGGGTCCCCGGTAACTGGGCTGTCTGGGCGAAATGCCAGCAAGTGTCCAGCAAGGGGGTGATTACTTCTGGGATGTCGCTCTATGGCTTGTGGCCCACAGCACTGCCACCGGTAATCGTGACCATACTCTGCACGTTCAGCTGGTGCCCTGGATGAGCTCAGCATTAGGCTTGGTACCTTGCTACACTAGCCCGGGAGAGGACTCGTGGGGCTTTGCAGGCAGCCTGTCTGAGAAAGGATCTTTGGGAAGTGCAAATTCTTTGGCAATTAGGCCATTTGATTTTGCCACGAGTCTGGCCTGGAAAAGAGTACTACTATTGGGGCAGGGCAGATTCACCTATGGGGAGGCCCACGCTCACACCTCAGGAGCCACTAATGAAGTCTCAAATGACTTCAGTTGGGTCAGCTTCCCAGCAAACCGCCTCTAGTGCGAGAACAGCCATCAGGGCGCCGGCAGAGGGCCTCACGCTTAGATACACGGTCCACGTTGTTCTGGGCATGTGTGTGGACTTAAGCACCACGCACTTTTGCTTTCCCAGACCCCGTGTGTGGGGCCTGGAAGGTGAATGAGACTCTGATACGAGGGCCAGGGCCTCTCTGCTGAGGGTTGGGCTGTTGATCCCAGACCGAGGCTGCCCACTGGTGGGCCGTGGGCCGGACCAGCCTGCAGTGGTGGGTGTGCTGGTAGTGTTTTGTCTTCTTGCTCAGTGTTTCTTAAAAATGTGAATTAAACTTGTCCAACTATAAAAACCACAAAATTTCAAATAAAAAGCTGATTTTTTTTTTTTTATCCTCTTGAGAACCTGAAAGGCTATTCCATGGTGGACTTGGACCTGACGAAATGACAGCCCTCAGAGGAGGGAAATGCTTGTCCATGGGCCCCCGTCCCCTCCCGGATCTCTTCACTTCTTGGTATTTCCTGCCTGACCTTGGGGCCCTTCGACTCCTAGGAAGGCCCCCTCTCTAGCCAGCCGGGTGCCTCACTGGCCTCAACACACTCCCACTCTGTCCCTGTCTTAATCCTTCTGTTCTCTGATTTCTGACCTTTCTGATGTCCTAATGACTTTTATGTTTTTTGCTTCTAAAAAACATTTTAAAAAAAGGTAATTAGCTGTGCATCCTTAATATTTACACCCCATTTTGTTAATTGCATCGTTTGGCGAGCCTTCTGCTTTTTTGGCTTGTGCCAGGCCTTCTTAGATTAGTTCATAAAGAATAACTAATAAAGAATTAGTTATTACAAATACTGTAACTTTTGTGCTTGATTTCACACTTCATGTCAGCTTCTTCCCTTTCCCAAAAGTGACACATACTTAATTTTCAAAAAAAATGAATAGTGGAGGAAAAATAGTCAGTTTGGGGATTTGAGGCTCCCTACTGACACCAGTAGGAAGTCCCAACAGGATGAGGCTTGAAGGCTGTTTCTTTGGATTGTGATCTTGGTGATGGCGGGGATGTCCTCCCCAGACTCCACAGACCTCTCTTGGCCCTGGTGTAGGTTCTGGAATACACTGCAGAGGGCATAGTCAGCCATTGACTTTGGACCTCTACACTACTGCTCACTAAATGTTGGCTTCTGCATAAACATGAAGAAATTCAGAATAAAAAGGAAAAAATGTGATGGGATTTATTGTTGATTGATACTTGAAATCCTTTTTGGAAAAAAAGGCACAATATCAATCAGGGTAGCAAGCAACAGAAACATACTGGCAGTTCATAAAAGATGGAGTTGGCTGAAAGGCAAGTGTCAACTAGAGTGCTTTTGAGAAAACTCGGATTTACTTGGGCAAAAAAAGTCAACAGTCTTTTTTTTCTTTTTCTGTATAACTTCACTGCATTTAGATATTTAGATTCAAGTTTGGAAAAAAAAAAAGTCCTGTTTGGGGGCATTCAATTTACACTCTAAAAAAAAATTATGAAAACTGCAGTTTAAAAATTAACCCCCCAGTAACGACTTACTTCAAATTAACACACAGCCTATATAGTTGGAAAAAGAAAAGATTTTTGGATATATATTTTATTTGACAGTGTTTTAGAATATCATACAGTAAACAAGATTTCTGTAAAAGTTAATTTATCCATAGTGGTGCGTTTCATAAAAATAGTTGCTCACTTACAGTCTTTCTGTGACTATTAATACATGGAATTATATTTATAGAGATACAGCTGTACAGGGTAAATTCACAGCTAACACTACACAGAAATATTATTTGGAATGGGATTTAGATGATGTGCTGTCTTCACAGGTTATGGATTACAGCCGCATAAAGCAATTACTGCACAAGTAGTAGCTGTGAACTGTGCAAATTAGAGTTTATGCAAGCGTAATCTCAACTTTTTTATCCTTTTGTAACACATGGAAAATAAAGGTCAGAGGATACAGTACCGGGACGTGCAGCTACACTACAGAAGCATTGTCCAAAACCAGATTCAATAAATTAATGGCAAACTCTACTGGATGTCTAGTCCAGGGGAGAAAGACTAATTGAGATTAAACCAAAAGTATTGTAAACTGCTACATGTGTTTGTGCTTTTGTTTATGATGAATGGATTCCATTTTTGGAAATTGCTTTTACAAGCTGCAAGATTCTTCACTTGAGGCTTTCGGCCACGTTCTCCTCTTGTCAAACAACTCGACTACACCTATGCCTGATGGAAATTAAATGGCCAGTGCTCAGGTTGCTGCAATTTACAGAGACAGAAAGAGTCAACGGAGAGAGGCTATTAGGCGTGACCTTGTGTGATGGATCTGATCTCCCGTTTTTACTTATTTGACTACAAGTTCAGGGAGGTGAGGCTTATCTGCATTTGAACTCCTGTAAGGGCCAGAATCTGGGAAGGATGAAGCCTCACTCATTCAGGACAAATTAAAGAGAAACGGCCCTCAGAAAACAGTTTGCCTTTTAATATGTGTAGCTACAAATAAGTACCAATGGATAATTAACTGCCGTAACATTTTACAAAGGAATATTCAAAGGGCAGAGTAGAAAGGCAAGCCTAAGGATGGTAATAGGGGATCAACCGCAGATCAATGGACATAAACCCAAACATCCAGAGGTTGCTGAAGACATTTAAAAATGGCAAAGGATGCAGAGACGAGAAAGCAAACCAAATAAAAGGAGAAAGAATAAGGGAAGACAAAGCAGAAAAAGAATGCTAAAAGGTTCACATTCTTTCATGAAAATAAATTGGCCATGGTTTTTTAATACTGGGGATTCATTCTAATCGGAGAAATACAGGCGAAACCCGTTGCCTCTGCTCTATCAAAGTGAAAATGAAGTAATGGAAAGAGGATCTTAAAAAAGACAATAAAACAAGTGAAATAGAACACTGCTGTCAAAGAAGCTACCCTCTCCGCTAGCCTGAGACCATAGGAAAAAGCCTTTTCATGAAGGAACTGCAGCGGTGCCGACCTCGATTCGACAAATTGTGGCCCTTCAATCATAAAATGCCGATTTTAGATGAAAACCAATTGAGATCTATGAGCTAAACTGCAAAATTCTGACTTACGGCAATCTGTTCCCTAAGATACAATTTTTTAAACCTTTTTTTTTTCCTACCACTGAAAATGTACAGAAACATGATTTGATCACAGAAATGGCAGTAAAAATGGCATCACAGCGACGAACGCACTAGGTTCCTAAGTCGTCCTGCGGGCCGGGCCGGGCCGGGCCGGGCCGGGGCGGGTCGTGGGCAGCAGTTCCGGATGGTCCAAAGAAACCTTTAAACCCCTGTCTAGATAGGTCGAGAACAATTTATGTACAACTCTTTAGATCAATTAAAAGATATAATCTCGTCTCAGTTTCAGCTTGCTCCGTGCAGTTTGAATTTTTTTTTTTTAAGGCGATATTCCAGTTTGTGATTGCTCGTAACTTGTCCGGTTTCTTGGTAGAGAGTTTGGATGGCATCCAAATCCTTCATGCAGCGGGGGTCATTTTTTTACTTTTTTGCTTTTTTGAGATTTTTTTCTTTTTTTCGTTTTTTACTAAAGCTACACTGCACTGTGTCTCCGCGGTGTTCTCCACGTGGTTTTGGTTGTCCCGGGGCCGCGGGGCCGGCGGGGGCCTGCGGGGGCCTGCGGGGGCCTGCGGGGGGCGCGGCGGGGCGCGGCGGGGCGGGGGCGCGGCGGGGCTCAGCGGCCCGCGGTCGGGGCTCCCGGCCTGCGCGCGCCGGGCAGTCGGTCCGAGCCCGGCACCTTCCAGGGCCCCGGCGCCACGGCGGCCCTGCGCGGGGGGGCGCCCCCCGGGGCCCGCGCGCCCGCCCCGCCCCCGCCCCGCCCCGCGAGCGCAGGCGCCGCCCCCGGGCCCCCCCGCCGGCCGAGCTCCGCGCCCGCCGCCCCGCGGGGCGCCCCCTGCCCGCCGCCGCCCCCCCTGCCCGCCGCGTCCGCCGCGGGCCCCGGCGCCCCCGCCTCCGGGCAGTGGCCGCCGGGCGCCCCCTCGAGCCCCGGCCGCGCCGCCCTCCGCGGGCTGGCCGAGCGCTCCGCCTGCTCCCCGAGGCGCTGCTTCTTCTGGCCGCCGGCCGCCAGCTCCTTTGGTTTCCGCACGTCGTGCTCCCGCTTGCTGTCCCAAGGCGGGTCTGGGCCGGCGTGGCGGGAGGCGTCGGAGGGCGGGGCCGGGTGCGACGGGGACAGTGGAGGGGGGCCGTCCTCCGGGGGGGCGCCTACTTCCTGCAGCCCTGGGGCGGCGGCGGCGGCAGCGCTGCGGGAGCCGGGGTCGTCTGCGGGCGGGAAGCACAGCGTTAGGGCGGCGCCCGCGCCCAGCGCCCCGCGCCCCGCACCCCTCCGGGGCACGAGGGTCCGAGCCCCCCGCCCCCCAACCACGCCCCCCCCCGGCGGCCCGACCCCCGACCCCGACCCCGAGGCTGCAGCCGGGCGCCCCCAGGGAGCGGGACGGCTGCGGGCGGGCAGCACAGCGTTAGCGCGGCGCCCGCGTCCCGCGCCCCCTCCGGGGCACGACGGCCCGAGCCCCCCGCCCTGGCCACGCCCCCTGCTCAGGCCACGCCCCCCAGAGGCCGAGGCTGCAGCCGGCCCCCCCTTCTCCCGGGCGCCCCCAGAGAGCGGGGCGGCTGCGGGCGGGCAGCACAGCGTTAGGGCGGCGCCCCGCTCGGGGGCACGAGGGTCCGAGCCCCCCCCCCCGCCCTGGCCACGCCCCCTGCCCAGGCCCAGGCCACGCCCCCTGCTCAAGCCCAGGCCACGCCCCCTGCTCAGGCCACGCCCCCCAGAGGCCGAGGCTGCAGCCGGCCCCCCCCTTCTCCCGGGCGCCCCCCGCGCTCGGCAGCCCCGGAATCAGCGGGCCCCAATGTGCCGTAGGTCGCCCCGGTGGCCCCCCGGCGCCATCAGCAGCCCGGGGCCCAGGGAACATCCGCTGCGAACAGGCCCCCGGCGGGTCGAGGACCCGGTGGGGCGAGTCGTGGACCCCGCGGGCGAACCGAGCTCGCCGAAGCTCTGGCCTGGCTCTGGGAGGAGGCGTCGGGACAGTGACTTGCAGCCCTTAGGTGTCACTCGAAGCATCATTAGCTTCCACCAGGCGCTCCCAGAATTTGGATGAAGTCATCAGAAACCGTTTACTGTCGTCCTTCTAGAAGTCATTCCTTCTTTCTAGTAGTTCTGACCGCATAGCAGGGCCAGGCTACCAGAAATGATTCTCCCTGGGAAGCCTAGTTTCAACATTTATTCGGGGTTTCAGGGCTCCCTACTTTGAGAAAGGACTCGAGACAATTTACGACAAGACACAAAACAGGATGATACACATGAGGAATGATTTTTTTTTTTTTTAAAAAAGCAACCACCGGTCAGAAGCCGAGTAGAAGGAAGACAGATGTGTTAGGAAGCGGAGATGGGTTAGTTACTACCATGAGCTCTAACATTACCCCTGAGTTTCTAGCTCCCCAATCAAGATTAAAGCAGGAAAATCCCATAGTCTTCCCTTGATATTTGCAAGGACTATGCCCCAAGACCTTTGGAAATCCTTAAACTTTGAAATATCTCCTTAGACTGTAAGTTCTCTCCACAGAACTGGCATAGGGTCGTGAGTGGGGACGACGAGGCCTCCCTGATCAGGGGTGCTGGGTGGCAGGAGAGGCTCCTCACTAGCCAGGACGTTCAGCTCCACACACGAGCCTCGGTGCCTGGGAATCAGTTCCTGCCGCTGTAACCTTATACGTGGCAGACGATTAAAGGCCCTTATTCAGACTCAATCAGTGAATGTCAAGGGTCTACTTGACTTAAAATTTGAGGATTCTTATCCAGTACCTTTGATGCTGATTTATAAAGAGGAAACGACAGGCAGAAGGCAGTGGGGTGGATAGTTCCAGTAATTCTGGGCTACCTGTACAATATCAGATCAGTTTTAAAAAGTTTCTCCTTGGATGTTCAGTTCGAATGGAATATTTAGGGCTGAGTGTTCTCTTCCTTCTTTTTGTAGGTAGTTCTATTATCATGTTCACATAAGGAGTAAAAAAGTCCTGGAAAAGCATCAGAAGACCTGGAATCGAATCCTGCCTCTGGCATTCACCAAGGTGTGATTTCGGATCAACTACTTGATCTCTCTGAGCCTCATTTTCTCCTTTTATAAGGGGTGACTGAAGTGTTTACATCATAGAGATGAGATACGCACTTTTAAAGGGGACAGCACTTTGCAATGGGAGGATTATAACGATTTTTTACACACGGTTGAGTCGGATTTCTACTCTGTGTCCCAGTAGCTACGTATGGACTGGCCATATTAACTAGCATACTTGTAGGTGAGGTTGTGAGTAAGTGCAGTAAATCAGCCATCCCTGATGGCTGTGATCCCCAGGTGTGGTTTTGCTCTACCCCCAGGTGGCCTTGGCTACTTCAAGGAGTATTCTAAAATCCTCAAATGCAAATGTTTTTGTTGAAAATTGGAGTATGTTCTGCTTCTGGCTGGGCTAGAATTTGAAAATCAAACCGTTATAGCAAATGATAGACCATGGCCACTCCATCAGACAGGAAGAGATTGCCTGAAGGAGTTAACAGTGGTCTCCAAAAGGCCTAACTAGAGGGTAGTGGTGCAATGGTAATCTCTAACTTGGACTGTGATGATGCCATTTCACAGTTTACTATCTCTTCCCAACACCCCCCTCCCCTACCCCTGCCAATTCCATCCTGTAGGGCCGAGTTAATTAGCTGGCCTTGGGTTAACTGTGAGGTACAGGGAGGTTGATATTATTCACACCATTTCCTGAAGGAGGAATTGAAGCAGAGAGAGGTTAAGTAATTTGACCAAGATTACAACATGGGTCAGCCAAGAGTAAAAGATTGGGTGTCTTTACTCTTTTTTACTTACTAAGAACATTTTCCTAACCTGTTGCCTTGCAAATAGGATCAAAGCATGTGAAATGGACCTGCTCAGTGGCCACTGCTGACCAACAGGACCTGGACCCCATCATCACTGGACAGAATGGTTAGTATTTATTTCTGAGCCTCTTACTCTTGACAGTAAACCAGAAGGTGAAATCATTCCAAATGCAAAGATACAGAAGAATCACTCTTATTAAAAAAAAAATATTTCTCTAGTGTTTGTTTATAGATCATTGAATTCTTAGTGGTGGAAACCAAAAGCTAAACTATCCCAAGCCACTCGTGACTGAGAGTATTAGTCAGAAATTAAAATGAATTGCATCTTAAAGTGAAATGACTTAAAGGATGGACCTTTACTAAGTTGCTTGATGGTTTTCATTGTTTTGGGCAAGAATTCCCCACCCGAGCACCAGCCATGTGACACCCGCACCAGGCAGGAGCCTGCAGAGCTGAGTGTAGTAGACCAAGGTGGCGGGCAGCCTGTCCCCCACCTTGCCTTTCACCCGCCTAGTCGAGGTGACCTGAACTGGGGTGCAAACTAGGGTTTTCGTGAAGCCTTGACACATGACGACCAGAAGAAATAGCCACATTTCCTGCTGGTTCCTTCAAACCGTCTTTTTCCCCTGGTCCCCTCTCCCTTCTCTTTCTCTTCGAACCTGGCCACCACCTGACACATGTCACTGTGTTCATTTACTGAGTCTGGTGCCCAGAAGACGGGCTCCCCACATTCTTCCCGTCTGAGGAAGCCTAGAATTAGAAATCATGGAGATGCATCCTAGGAGACAAAATCAGCCATGTGGGCCTGCCGGGGTTCCTGCAGCCCCTCTGTCCAAACAAAGTCCCCAGCAGACCCAATGGCTGAAATCAGAAAAAAAAAAAAAAAAAAAAAGAGAGAGAGAGAGAGAGAGGCTCTTATTCCAGCCCGGCTTCCTCCACCCACCAGCTGGCCCCCCGGAGTGAAACTGCTCTCGTTCAGGTCACCAGTGATCTTTCTATTGGCAAGTCCTGAGGACACCTCTCTGTATTCATCATCATGCTTTATCTCACCACCTTTCACACAGATGACCACTCCCAGACACCAAGTGAACCCTTGGCTTCCATGACACTCCATCGTCCTGTTCTTTACCCCACCTCTCTGGCCGTTCCTTCCTCTTCTTTTACTTGGCCTCTAAATGTTGGCATTCCTCAGGGACTGGTCTTAGGTCATTTTCGTGCTTTATGGTGTCTCTTAGGCGTTCTCATCTATTCATATAGCTTTTATACAACAGTATAAAACAGCAGTACTCCCAGATGTTTCTGAACTCTACGCCATGAGCTCTGGGCTGGTGTCCACCTGCCCATTTGCTATCTCCACTCTGATCGTCCATTGGCATCCTCTCTGTAACAAGTCCCAAGTGGAAATCTTTTCTCCCTGAGCCTATTCTGCACTCTGTCTTTCTTTCCCCATCTTGGTGAGTGGTACAACCATCACTTGGAGTCAGTCTTGATTGCTTTCTCTCCCTCACCTCACAAATGGAATCCACCTGCAAGTCTTATGAGTCTTATCTTCAAGTGGACATGGACTCTGTCAACTTATGTTCGCCTTCACCTTCGCCACCTGAGGTCAAGATCCAGGGCTGTCCCTGGAAGGATGCAACCGGTGTAGGCTGCCCAAGATAATTCCATTTAAAAGAAGGCCATAGTGTGCACATCTTTCATAAACCCTTGGTGATGCTGTTAAAGGCAGAGAATTCAACAGTGACTTTCAGTGTTATTCAGGCAAGAGAAGTTAAGTGTAGGATACTGGGAACTACACACCCTCCCCCGAGTTCAATGCTCAGGACAACCAACCTAGTTCCCACACCCAAGGGATGGGCCTGCCAAGCTACTGTTTCTCACACAGGCTGCTACAATAAACTGCTCTTCTCTTTATTCATACTTGCTTGATTCTCCATACAGCACCCACAATAGTATCTTCGCCACACAAATTAGATCATGTCATTCCTTCGCTTAAAACTTTCAAGGGATTCTTACTGTTCTTGGATAAAAAACCCAAAATTAATACCATGACCCAGAAAAACCTGCATGATCTGGCCCCAGCCAGCCCCCTCGGCCTCATCTCTATTTACTCTCTATTCTCCACCCACACTGGTCTTCGTTCAGTTCCTAAATGCACTGAGCTCCTTCTCTATTCTGGGATGTATGTCACTGCTGACTCTTCTGCCCAGAAAGTTTTCTCCCCAACTCTTCATATGGTGGGTTCTTTTTATATTCTTTAGGACTCTTAAATATCACCCACAATCCAAGGTAGATGTTCTGCTGTCCTCAGGAGCATCTTGTCTTTATTTCCTCATAGTACTTATGATTGGTGATTCTCTATCTGCCTGCTTATTTGATTAATAGCAGTTCCAGTTAC